GCATAGATGTGAGTGTTTTCAATATGTGGCGTATTTCATGTGACTTATTTTTTATCTTCTCTATCTTATTATTTTTAAGTAATCTCTATACCCAATGTGGGGCTTAAACTCATGACCCTCAGATCAAGAGTAGCATGCTCTACCAATTGAGCCAGCCAGGTGCCCCTCATGTGATATATTCTTTTAGGAAAGACCTTCCACAACACTTTTTAAGTTCTCCATTAACGTAAATTTTTTTGAGACTTTGCGATAATGTTATTTATAATTTGAAGAAACCCAAATTTCCTCCTATTAAATTACTTTTCTTCTTTATTCTTGTCCTTTAATCTTATTTGCGATTCACCATTATTATCTTTGGAAATCCAAACCTTTCATCATAGTTCGCAAACTGGTAAACCAAATCGGCATGGCAGGGGAACTGAGGCTCGGGATGAAGCAAAGTGTAAGTAAGTGGCCATTGACCATGAAACTCTAGCACACAGTAAAATCACCTGTGAAAAAATTTGAGTCGAGGGAAAAACATAATTTAATTTACCAAAATCCTTAATAGACATAGGTTCTAAGAACCACGGCGGGAAAACTACAACCTTTAATAGACTTACGGTGTTAGATGGTGACGATGATGATGACAACAGTGGTCCCGGCAAAGACTGGCCACATCTAGGTCCTCAGGGTTAAAATAATCATCTTTTGTAAAAAAAAAAAAAAAAAAAAAAAAAAAAAAAAAAAGTATTCTTAGTGTGTGAATCAGTGAATACTTAAAATTTTGTGACAGGTTTAGAAAATTCATGCTAAGAAAAAGAGAAAATAATCCGTAAAAAGGTTACTTGAACCGTCATGGGATTGCCATTTAACAAGCGACATCCTGTGCCTGGGGAAGGGTATGATCTTTCCCTCCTTTGGCTTTAAACTTCCACTGGAAGAACTTTTATAAACATTCAAAAATCTTCAGATAATATCAGGTTAAGATTTTCAAATACACAACATAAATAATAAATCCATAAATTACAGCACACAGAAAGGTACTCTCTAAGATTGTCAGATTTTTCTAAATTTACGTGTTATTTTTGGCATCTAAAGTTTTGTCTTGTACATGGTGGATACTTAAAATATAGACAAATTTTGATTTGACTTTACTTTCGTGGGCGGGTCTTGGGGCCGGGATCAACACATTGCTAGAATCCAGCAGTCATATTCCAAGCAGGGTCATACCAGTAGTCTGAGTTCTCAGGAAGACTACAGAGAATAATGTTTGAGAACTAGCTCACTCGAAGACGACTAGAAGGAACTTTTCCATTCAGTGTGAAATTCTTTCAAGAGTTTCTTTTCCTGTCTCTTCCATGAAATTTTTTGTGGTTTCTGAAACCCATTCCTGACAGTGGTAATGAAAGTGCTGAGAAAGAAAGTATTACAGTTAAAACAAGACAAAACAAACCCCATAACGATTGGTTTTCCAACATGCTTACCATGAGAATCTCTCGTGCATTTTTTAAAAGCTAAAGTAAATTGGTGTTAAATTACAGATTTCCCAAAGTGTAAAGGTCTTTCAAATATTATTTAGTCTACTCTCAAGAGAAAATTCTTGAATCCTCTCCACACCATTAGGATGTTACTCTATTTCCACTAAACACTGAACTTCTCAGCAATATTTTCTCCAAACGGAGCTGGGTATAAAGGGCTGAACCATCTTCAATAGACTCAGAACTAGAACCACCCGCTGCTCCAGAGATGGCAGGGATAGATATCAGGGTACTAGACTCACCTGCTGGTTCTGGGAGAAAATTCAGACTGGCAGGCAGAACCCAGACTCACAATTACGGTAACCTGTAATAAGTGCAGAGTTGGGGAGTACGGTGGTGGCAACCCCAGGAGGTCGTGTTTGGAGACACAAGCTGATAGGATAATCGGTCAGGAAGCCGCTCAGTCTGTAATGAGGTTCAGGGGCAGGGTTCTCAACCACATACTCTGGTCTATAAAGCCCCTAAACCCAACCATTCACCTGCACCTCTGCCCTCAAAATGTGCCAACTTCCTTTTCACCTTTAATGTCCCATCACTCTGGCTTTCTTTCCAACCACAGAATGCCAAGATACCTTGAACCCCAGAGCCTTGGTCATTCAGATGGACCCTTAAATGTCCTCCCCTTACAAAGGCTTTTTCAGGAGACTCTCTACTACATGATTCCATTTTAATTATTTGCATACCCTTGAGACTTGCCTCCTCTATCTATCTCCTCACTAATATAAGCTCAATGAAAGGAGGGTATCTATTTGTGTTATTCCTTGTGGTACCCAATAATACCAGGCACTTTTATTAAGTTCCTATCATATCATGGGGGCTTATTACACCTTTTAGATGAGCGACTGAATGAACAAATGAACAAATAAACTGTTAATAAACAAATTAGACGGATAGGGGACTGGCAAAATGAAAGTTTCCATAACTAAAAAGATATGAAACCAAATCCTTGACTAAATAACAGGAGCTAGGGAGACGAGGAAGGCTGTCACCAGATGCGAAAGTCTTGATAAATGCAGGGAATGAGCACAGGTGGCAGGAGTGAAGTGGGGGAGGAAGTTGTGCTGAATAGCTTGACTCTCAGTGGAGAATAAAGTATTAGAAGATGACAGGAAAGCCTGGGTTTGGACATTGTAATGGGAGAATGCCAGCCAACCCTCCTCCTTGTTTTGAGAAATGTGGGAGAATAAAATAAACCTCACTCAAGAGGACAGAGCGGGCACATTTTAGTTTGGTTACAGTTACAGTTTGGTTTACAGTTTGGGTAAAGCCATCTGCATAAAGGTGTATATAGAAGAATTTGTTCATGGTGATATATGGAAAGCAAGAAGGGGGAGGGCAACATCTTTAGGAGACGTGTGGTGGGAGTGAAGAAGAGTCTAGCAGTAAAAGGGCAGAATCACCTGAAGGACAATGGGAGAGAAAAAAAAATTTTTTTTGAGATGTAGGAATAAAGAGATGATAGTCATAGAAGAAGCGATGTGCCTCAAATACGGACTTTTGCTGCAAGTTTACAGGGAGCCCAGCAGTACCTGGTTTAATCTCAGAGAAATGGTCCCCAACTGTCCTGCATGACAATTTAGACTCTGATCTGGGGGTAGCTTCTTAAGACTCACACAGAGAGAACAGCTTTTCATCAAAATGCTAGGGAATGGTGATTTGGGGCCAGGCACCAGTACTGGGAGGTAGCTAAGAAGGCAAGCTGGACTAAGAAAAGAATAATACATTTCTTTTCCGTGCTCTAACAGTCCACATGGTTCTTTAGCCTACTTACTCTTCCCAGGTGAATAAGGCAAACCTGGTGGACGGATGCTGACAGTAACCAGTTCACTATGACCTGTCCACCCAGACTCCATAACCAAATACCCTCCTTGTAGTGAGGTGGACCTCAAAGGGCACAGCAATTCTCCTAAGGCAAGAGAGGATCATCGACTCACTGAATACAATCCTTGGTCTAAAACTGAGCATTAATACGCATTCTTAAATCATGTACAACACAGTTATTTGTTGTCTCTTCCCAGCGTTGCGATATAAGAGGCAATCCCTCACATTAAACATTCATTCGGGGCGCCTGGGTGGCTCAGTAGGTTAAGCGTCCAACTTCAGCTCAGGTCATGATCTCACAGTTCATGAGTTCGAGCCCCGCGATGGGCTCTGTGCTGACAGCTCAGAGCCTGGAGCCTGCTTCAGATTCTGTGTCTCCCTCTCTTCCTGACCCTCCCCCCACTCATGCTCTGTCTCTCTCTCTCTCTCTCTCTCAAAAATAAATAAACATTAAAAAAAATAAAAAAAACATTCATTTAATGGGCACACCTTATATATAAAGGTGTTTTACATATGCTACTCAATTTACTTGTCTCAACAATCTTGAAAAGTGAGGACTATTCTGCTTTTACAAATGGGGATGCAGAGTCTCAGAGGGGCGCACTTATTAAATACACGCACAGACACGATGCACCCGACTCCAAAGCCTATGTTCTTTCAAGCACCTCTCACCTCACTCTGCAGCCACACACCAAAATGGCTCAATTTCACCGAAATGGTGACAGTTTGAGTCAGAGCAATGCTGCTTTTTGAGAAAGGTGGAGGAAACAACCTGTTAGTTGGATGTGGCAGCAGTTGGAATTTTGGGGGTTCAATCAGTGTTTTCCGAATAACCATGTCTCCGCTGCCTCACCACCCACCTCTGATCACCTTGGTGGTCACTGAGTAAAAATTGGACATTTGTCAAAGTACTGACAATGCTAGCACATACCTGGGGGGATAAAGGAGGCAGAAGTCAATACAATATATCCAGTCTAACGACCTGTGGGAGATGAGAGGAGAAGTCCGTGTGAATTATGCTGGTGATTCTGTCCAGAAAGAGAACAGGAGGGGAACAGAAGATCACGGAGGTACCCTAACTTGAGCTGGGCTTTGTGGTGATTTCGCTTATGAAAGAGAAACTAGAAAATTTGTCCTTGAGTAATGTTTCCCGTAAATGACCAGGTTTTTTCGTAATCATTTGATCTGTCTTAGAGTTGGCTTAGGAACTAAGTAGGGTGGCTGCAATAAGGGAAGATGGAGTGTTTTCCTGTCTGCCCAAATACAATGTATTCTTTTCATTTGGGTAGCTGCATTGAATCAGGATGCCAAGGAAAGCCCCCTAGTTTCTTGTAAGTTGGGGGGAAACAAAGGTAACAATGGAATGGGGTCTATCCTCAGTCAGGTTCCTGACCTGCGAGAGAGAAGTCACCAGGGTCCTGCGGACGTCAAAGGTGTGTGTTGGCCACAGCTGCTCTGCCTGAAATAAGAAAGCGAAAGCTCTCGGAGCCCGGAGAGGCCCTTTCCCCCTGTCCGGAAGCTGCTGCTTCGCAGAGTGGGAAGCCCTAGACCTCAGTCCACCCAAACCACTGCAAGCGCGGGGCAGTCAAAAGTGCAGGGCGGTGAAGAGGCAGAAGCATCCGGCCCCGTCCAGGGCACCCCGTCCACGGCACGAGGCCCATGGATAAGTTTCAGGAGGTGCTAAACCTGCACCTGCAGCATCCCCGCGTGCTGGGCTACGGCCTGGTGACGCTCCTGACGGCGGGCGGGGAGCGCCTGTTCTCCGTCGCGGTGTTCCAGTGCCCCTGCAGCGCCGTCTGGAACCTGCCGTACGGCCTGGTCTTCCTGCTGGTGCCCGCGCTGGCGCTCTTCCTGCTGGGCTACGTGCTGAGCGCGCGCACCTGGCGCCTGCTGACCGGCTGCTGCGCGCGCGGCGCCCGCCCGGGGGGCTGCGGGCCGCGGCTGCGGGCCGCCCTGGTGTGCGTGCAGCTCAGCGCCACCGCCGCCGTCGCGCCGCTCACCTGGGTGGCCGTGGCGCTGCTCGGGGGCGCCTTCTACGAGTGCGCGGCCAGCGGGAGCGCCCCACTGGCGCGGCTGCTGTGCCGGGGCCGCGACGCCGCCTGCGAGGCCCAGCTGCCGCTGGCGCCCTGCCACCAGGCCCGGGCGCCCGACGCGCAGGACCTCCTGAAGGAGCTCAAGGCCCAGTCTCAGGTGAGGCGCGGGCGCTGGACGCGGTTGGGAGGATGGGAGCGGGGCCGGCTGGGCCGGTGCCCTCGCCCCAGACACGGGACCCCGGGCGACAAGCTGGAACGGCGACAATTTCAGTAAAACGAACGAAAAGGAGGGAAGGCACCTGCTCTGTGCCGGATACCGCGCCTGGCCGTTCAGCTCCCGTCCTGCCTTACTCTCTTTTTAGCCAGTTCACCAAGTCCAGATCGAGTTGTTTGTCCGGCCGGAAGAAGGCAGAATTGTTACAATAAAATGGGCCTCCCTGGCTCTAAAGCCCCCGCCCCACACTGCTTCTGGGCATATAAAGCCCGGAGACTCTTGAAAATGAATGCTTGTTTCATTGGATTTGCCGAAATTCCACGTGTTGAATTCTAGCCGAGTGGCGAGTAAGTAGGCTTTTCCCTGGGCCCTCGACGGGACTTGGAAAATAACCTGTCAAGTGGTTGAAGCGTTGGGGAGGTTGTCTCTTCTTTCTCTTAAGAGACTAAGACCTAAAACGGTTGCTTGTTCATCAGCATAACTGTGAGTAGTTCAACCTTTATGTAAGGATTTAAAATTTTTTTTACGAAAAAATGTCACTAAGTTGCTGTTTTGTTGTGTTTTCCTCAGGTGCTGGGCTGGATCCTAATCGCAGTTGTTATCATCTTCCTTTTGATTTTTACATCTATCATCCGATGCCTATCTCCAGTTAGTTTTCTGCAGCTGAAATTTTGGAAAATCTATTTGGAACAGGAGCAGCAGATCCTTAAGAGTCAAGCCACAGAGCATGCGACACAATTGGCCAAAGAGAATGTCAAATGTTTCTTTGAGTGCTCACATCCGAAGGAATACAATACCCCAAGCATTAGAGACTGGCAGCAAATTTCATCACTATATACTTTCAATCCAAAGGAGCAGTACTATAGCATGTTGCACAAGTATGTTCATAGAACAGAGAAGAGTGAGAGCATCAAATCTAAAGAAGGAGATACAGTGATTCCCATTCTTGGCTTTGTGGATACACCTGGTATGCACACTACTGCTGACTTGTGACCTTATTAATGGATATGAGGCAAGTTCTTTTGAGTTATCGCTTCATTTTTAAAAAATAAACTTTGGTATTTTTATGACTTTTTTTTTCGATTTTTCAAATTGTGGAAACAATTTTAAATCAAATAAAAAATTGAGAACTTTACCTATTCATTATATTAGTTATGAAAAAGGAAGCAAAGTCAAATGATTCTGTCCAAGGGGCAAACTGGAACTAGATCAAAAGTTTTACACCCCTGGTTTAGGGTCCTTTTCACTGAATAAGAATGTTGTCAAATAAAAGACTTTAAGTAGCAGAGACAGTAGCAGAAACCGCGGAAGAATGATTGAACTTTTGACCTTTCTGTTAGGTTATCTGATGTTAGTTTCAAATTCACTTTCTTGAAGATAATACATTGTTTCAAACTTTAAAATACCGCCTCTGACGGCTCTAATGTGGGTACTAAACAAACAAAAAATTATCACGAACAGGAAAGTCAATGTTTTAAAAATACAAAATATGGAAAATGACAATTGCAAGCCTAACTGTTGGTTTGAGTTTGTAGGGTCAGAGGGCAGATTTTAAAACTTTATTTTGGTAAATTTCAAATATGCACAAAAGTAGAAAGGATCATGTTCTGAGCCCCCTGTATAGTCATTATACAGTTTTGACAGTGTAGGGAAGTCAGATGAAACCCATAGCATGCAAGTAAATATAGAAATACCAATTGTGGCCTGATTTAGAGTACAGGAGGGGGCTGGGAACTCTGTGAGAAACTGAAACCTGAGGAACGGAAGAGCATTTCAGTTTGCGGAACAGCATGGCAAAGACTAAGGTGAGAAAGATCTGAGCGCAGCTGGAAGCCTTAGTTAGAGGTGATTGGAAAAAAGGAGCAAGGGACAGGTGGTGCGGGTCCTCTAAGTCATGCGAAGGGTTTTGGTTTTCATCCCATGAGCATTTTAGGAAGACTGTTCTAATTTTCTTGTGGAAAAAGGAATGGCATGGGGGAAGAGACAGAGCCAACATGGAAACAGAAAGACTCATCAGGAGGCCACTGCAGTGAAAATAGGTAGGAGTGAATTTGAAGTGGGTCACTGGTGATGAAGATAGAAAAAGTGAATAGAGTCAAGGTAAATTTTGAACATAGACATGACAGGATTTGTTAATGGAGAGAAGGGATACACTTATTGAGAGCCACAGTATCTGTAGACAAAATTATTTTTTAATGTTTATTTATTTTTGAGAGGCAGAGAGCGTGAGTGGGGGAGGGGCCGAGAGAAAGGGGGAGACACAGAATCCGAAGCAGGCTCCAGGCTATGAGCCATCAGCACAGAGCCCGACACGGGGCTCAAACCCACAAGCGGTGACATCATGACCTGAGCCGAAGTCGGACGCTTAATCGACTGAGCCACCCAGGCACCCCACAAAATTATTTTTTTTAAGTTTATTTCTTTTTGAGAGAGAGAGAGAAAGAAAGAGAGGTGGGGGGAAGGGGCAGAGAGAGAGGGAGAAAGAGGGGATCCCAAGCAGGCTCTGCACGACACGGGGCTCGAACTCATGAACTGTGAGATCATGACCTGAGCTGAAATCAAGAGTTGGGTGCTTGACAATATCAGGGGACATTAGCTTGTCATTCCCGCACATCTCCCAAATTTATGGCTGTTTTGTGCATTTAAAAAAAATAAAATATGAAAACTTTAAACTGTAAAGGAATTGAGCACTGGGCCTATTTAGCCCTTCTTCCTCTCTGAACAGATCTCTGTCTTGGGCTCTATTTGCCCTTTGTTGCACAGGATCGTTTAAAAGAACTTGTCAGCCGAACTGAATATCCTGTTAGTGAGTCTATATTATAAGAAGGTTAGTGGCAGAAACTACATGACCAGTTTTATTTTCTATTCCCTAATGAATAATTTTGAAATTCGTATCATCCTTACTTTTATTTTTGCTTCCTTTATTTCATCTTCCCATTTCTTTTGTATATTCTTCTCTTTCAATGCTTCCCCCCCCCTCTGGTCTAACATGGGCACTTACATCTTACAGTATATTGTCTCCATTTTGTTTACTTCCTCTTGCACAGTCTTTATTAATTATTGTTCAAGTATATATGCTTAAGAAAAAAAATGATAACACTAGAGAACTATGTGAAGTAAAACGTACACTTACCTCATTCCTTTGCAATATAGTTTTACCAGAGGAAGCCATAGGCTGTGTCTACACAAATATTATCGTATTATAAATGTGGTTCTGCAGCTTTTTCACATTAAATATCATTGTTCCATGTCCCTATGTAACAGTTTCTCTCATAAAAAAATTCAGCTGATTAGAATTTTTAGAATTAGAAAAGAGTTATGCTTTTTTGTTAAAAAAAATATACCTACACATATATAAACACATGCATTCATAAAGTATATAAAGATAAGCAACAAATTGTCAAATTTGGTCAATTCTAAAGACTAGCAATAAGGCAGAGGAGTTTTTCTTTAAGTCTTATGTCTTTTGGGGGCACCTGGGTGGCTCAGTCGGTTGAGCGTCTGATTCTTGATTTTGGCTTAAGTCATGATTCCAGGATCATGGATCCAGCCCCCATTGGGCTCCATGCTGAGTGTGGAGCCTACTTGGGATTCTCTCTCTCTCTCGCTCTCTCTCTCTCTCTCTCTCTTTCTATGCCCCTCTCCCCCGCTCTCTCTCTCTCTCAAAACAAAAACAAAAACAAAAAAAAAAAACAAAAAAAAAACACGTAAAACCAAAAAACAAAAACAAAAACAAAAAAACAACCAACTCCAGAACAAACAAAAACCTCATGTGTTTTTGATCTTTGGATGTTTTTTGTAATGAATAATAAATGTTAACTGTGTAGTTAGAAAAGATTAAAAAGAACCCTTACAATGGTGTAGGGCTTTGCAGTCAACAGGAAGCTTTATATCTTTCTCTTCAGTTCATTTTTACAACGTTGTAGGGTACCCACAAAACACATCACTCGCACGTACAAGTGAGGAATTGAAGGTTGGAGTGGTTACATTACTAGACCAAGGTCATACAGTCAATGGCAGGCAGAACTAAATAAAGTTAGTGGACTGAGCCTGTCTGGATAGTGTGGTTCAGAGTGGCCACCTGTTGTCCTTATTACTGGGCCAGTTTTGTCCCTTTTTAGCCCATGTGCCCTTGTGAGCAGAAAAGATGCAGATGTCCTTAGTGACCCCTACTATTTTTCATCTCATCCAGGAACTTGGCAACTCTTGATACCTGAGACCACTTTGAATAAACATAGGGAATCAGGACACAGAAGTTATTTCATGGTGGGAACATGGTCACCACTATCACTACTCCTTGGAGTCCAGCCACAAACAGGCCACATCATGGGCTTACGAAGCATTTCTCCACTGGGTGTATACAGTTGATCCTTGAACAATTGGGGCTTCAAAGCGCTGACCCTCGTACAGTCGAAAATCCATGTATAACCCTTGACTCCCCTAAAACTTAAGTACGAATAGCCTATTGTTGACTGGAAGCATTCATGATAACATAAACAGTTGATTAACACACATTTTATATGTTACATGTATTATTTACTGTATCTAGAGTAAAGAAAATCATAAGGTGAGAAAATCATAAGAGAAAATACATTTACTGTATTATACTGTACTGAAAAAAATCTGTGTACAAGTGGGGCTGTGCAGTTCATATTTCTGTTGTCCACGGGTCAACTGTATTTATTTGCTGGCTCACCAACTGATTCTTTATGATCACCCTGGCTTTATGCTGCCCTAAAGGCTTCAGCTTAGAAGAGATTCAGACACAGCATCTACTAATAATATTTGCTGCAAAACAACCATATTGTTTTAAGAGATGACTCCACACTGCGTTGAGTTAGGCAAGATACACAGTTTACAGAGCCTCATAAGATTAGGCATGATCTCTTTGCTCCATCCAAAGCCATAGATCAAAATATCAATGCTCTACAAACTAAAGAAGCAAGTCCTGAGGGAGCATCTGCAAACAGAATTATATACAACTGTCTACATTTGTAGACAGATGTCTACACAATGTCCCCACAAATGTCTCTGGCTGGAAAACATCTGGGAACCCTAAGTTTCACAACATCTTACCTACCAGGTGGCCTATTGTACAGAATTCTTCCTAAAACAAAGATTGAGAAATACTCCCTGTCTGAGTCAGCCCCAGCCGCCACTGCCTATTTAGTCAGCAGCAAGCTTCCATTGGGTGCTTACCATGTGTCCAAAACTGGGTCTGCCCTGAAAGCTAAGCCTGTAGTTGATCTTATTTTGTCCCTTCCTCCTCATTGTCGCCTTACGAAATATCTCCTGTGAATTGCAATATAAGGGCTGTGGAACTGATGATATTATATTCTTATCTAAAGAAAGAGACCTGTATCAAAAAAGGGGTATTGTCTATCAAGATCCTTTGCCACAAGGAATAAAACATGAAAAACTTCTGAATGAAAGAAATCTCTATAAAATTGGGCAATTTATTGTCATTTTAAAAATTGTGGGTTATCAAACATAGAGAAGAGTATATGAAACATTTGTGTCCATTTAAAAAAATAATTACACAGTAAACATCTACGTAACCGCCACAGAGGGGAAAGAGAGAGGACATCTCCAGCAACCCAGAAAACACCTGCCCGAGTGTCACTTCACAGGGTCAACTCTCTCTGCCTAAATGTGGGCGGCAGGCGGTCGGGGGCGCGGGGAGAGATCATTCTCTTACTTTTTTTTTTTTTTTTAAGTTTATTTAGTTTTGAGAGAGAAAAGAGAACAAGCAGAGGAGGGGCAGAGAGAGGGGGGGACAGAGGATCTGAAGCAAGCTCTGTGCTGATGGCAGAGAGCCCGATGTGGGACTTGAATTCATGAACTGTGAGATCATTACCTGAACTGAAGTCAGATGCTTAACTAAGCCACCCTGGCGCCCTCATTACCTTACTTTTATTTATAGTTTTACCACCTATGTGCGCATTCCTAAATTATTAATGTTTATTTTTGTCTGTTTTGGAACTTTGTATGAG